AACAGTAAATTAACAAATTTTTAACGGAGAACTAATGGCGGTAATCAAATGAAAGCCATGGATGTAATATGACAAAATTAAAAGAGTATTACTAAATGTGACAATGGCACAATAGTCGAGGATTAAAAAAGTAAATTGCTCTCCGTAATATATAATTTTTTTTTTATTATTTAGTATGATTATTAAAATTCACAAGAAAAAATCTTCATAATTTTATTGTAATTTGAATGTGTAGTCTTTTACAATATTGTTTTATTTATAATAAGTCGATCTTAAATATCTTTTATATGCATATAAGTATGCAATGCGCTTTAATCTTTTTGATTTAGTGAAGGTGATGCTACAATATATAATTGCATGGATGGAGATTTAATTTGTGGTCACAAGCCTGGCTTTATTTCAATAGCAACTTGGCCCTAATATCATCAACATACCACTTGCCATCTTAAATATCTTATATATGCACATAAGTATGCCAGTGCACTTTAATATGTTTGATTTAGTGAAGGTGATGCTACAATATATAATTGCATGGAAGGAGATTTAATTTGTGGTCACAAGCATGCCTTTATTTCAATAGAACTTGACCCATTTCAAAAAAAAAAAAGAAATAGCAACTTGATCCTAATATCATTAACATATAGCTTTGATTCCGTATTGCTCTAGCCCGCAAAAGCGCAAAGGATCACAAAGAAGTAAATTAAAATCAGTCGATTCAAATCAAGAATGTCAAATAAACAGCTTAATTTCATGAGGAGTCAAACTTAGAACTTTATAGTTACCAAGTCAATTATTCGACCATCTCGACTGGAAGTTGCTCCTCCACACTCGACAGTGTCTTCAATCTAGCTTGTCTCCGGGTAATTTCATCTTATTGACAACATCAATATATAAAACCAAAAAAGAATACTTATCCATCCACTATCTCTATAGAGATCATCCAAAATTTCTCAATTACTATAACTTGGATTCTGTGTCTGGTTTATTAAAACCCTATCTTTTGTGAGTAAACTTTAAGTGAGATAAAACGTTTTAACTGTGACTATACTATTTTGATTTATATGAAAGTCTGCATCCGTTGCCCAAAGTTTCTTCCTGGATGAAGCGCGATTTGTAACCCTAATTGGATAAAGGATTCAAAAAAGATACACAAACCTAAATTATTCATAGCTGACCGACTCAAATAGAGAAACACATTATGTAATTGTGAGTGTATGATTGAAAGGAAGTGTTATGTTGCAGTGTGGCAACAGTACAGTTCATCGTCCAAAGCACACAAACACATTGGTGCACATGCATATATGCATATTATCTGGAATTGAAAAGTCAAGAAAGATGAATCAATGGGAGGGCAGCATATATATGATATATGTACTAGAACAGTGGCGACGACCGGAGTTTCATTAATGGATGCCGGCCGGTAGGGTAAAAAGAATTGAATGGATGTTTGATGATATAAGAGAAATTGGGCACCGCACCATTATGACAAGTATCTATTGTTGTGCTGCCTCAATGCACTGCTCTTGTCAGCTCAATTATGCCATCCCTGCCTGCAACTCAATATTTTCCTTTTTTTTTTTTTTTTATTGATATCTCTCTCCCTTGGGATACCTTGGTTTTAATTAAAGTAAATTTAATAAATGCTTGGTAAATAAATAAATAAATAAATCTCAATTATTAATGCAGTCTTAGTGGGCAGCTAGCCTTGTATACATCATACCAAACAATGTAGAAATAATTGTGTCCATCACTAGAGTGTCCTCAGATTAAAAGGGAAATTGTTTTGACTTTTGCAACTAATAAGTCTACCCCTAAGAAAAATGATTTTTTTTTTTTTTTTGGTTTTTAATATGTATTCAAAAACAGTTGGTTGCGCTGATATAAGCTCGGGAATTGGGATCGTGCAGTGGGATTCGCGGTTTTATACGATGGACGATGGTTCAAATAGCTCTTTGTGGATCATGATATTATCAAATAAAATTGTAATTGAATTAAAATAATACTTTAATATTGTTATAATACACTAGTGTGTATGAAAAAAATGAAATTAAAAATTAAAATTTATGTAATAACATATATTGTCAAATGAATTTAAAGTGTAATTAAAACGATACTTCAACGTTACTATTAGGGGTAGGCGCTTTGATTTTCGATTTTAAAAAATGAAACTGCATTCGGTTTAATATTTTAGTTCGATTCGATTTCGGTTCTGTTTGAAAAAGTTTGGTTTCGGTTTGATATTTGGTTCTATTTAGGAATTAAAACCTTAATTCTCAACATTTCTTAGTGTTCTAGCGTAAATAATTAATTATTTATTTATTTTTACTAATAATTTAGGTTAAAAGTCCATTCTTTTCAAAAGGTTGAACCCCAACCCGACAGAGCATCTGGGAGGATGTAAATTATGGTAACTCAACACTCAACTGAACATGAACCACACAGAGGCTAGACCAACTCAACTGAACATGAACCACACAGAGGCTAGACCTTTACTTACTGCGCACAAGAGGTTGCTCCCGCACTGCCGCTGGTGAGACTCGATCCCTGGTCATTCTTTCCAACTTTCACCTCTATGACCAGTTGAGTTTCTGCATCCATGGATTGAATTCAATCAAGCTCATTTAATGAGATTATAATATATATTTTTTTTTTAAGAAAAAAAACTTTTCAGAATCCAGATGGAATAAAATAAAGTACTTTTATAATTTATTTATATAGTCTAGCAAACTTTTTTGTTCATATCCAAATCAGCCAGCAAAATAAAAAATAACTAAAATAGAAGGGAAAAGGAAATCATTCAAATGAATAGCACATGATCATAACCATAAACAACATTGTTCCACTCCCATATGTAATATTTTCACTTCGAGTGTCATAAAATGGTCATACAAATTGACTTATACATCAATTCTCAGGCTCAACAATAAAGTCGCACTTTACATATATACAACAAAAATTGAGTTCCAATTATATTGAATGCATTAATTATGTTGAACGCCTAAATTTAACTTAGGGGAAAGACTCATATACATATTCAAGCATATAAATTTAGGCGAGGGCAGCAGGTGAAACTTGTTCGATTGCAGATTTGCAGGCGAAGCAAGAGTGCCGGAGCGGACGAGCCGTGTTCATCTACGATTATGAATTTAGTAATTAGGGATTTGAATTTATTTCTTTTATTATTATTATTATTATTATTATTATTATTAAAGTTTGTTTTTATTTTAAAAAAAAACAAACAAATGGTATTCAGTTCGATTCGATTTTTTACCGAACCGTTTGATATACAAGAATCCATTACTACTCGGTTGTTCGGTATATTACCGAACCAAACTAGTTGGTTCAGTTTGGTATAATTTGGGAAAATTGAACCGAATTGCCCACCCTAGTTATTATAATGAAATTGGTGTGCGGAGAAAATGAAACTAAAAAACATAACATATATTGTCAAATGAACCTGAAATGTAGCTAATTAAAATGATATGATATTTCAGTGATATTATAATAAAACTAGTGTGTAAAAAATTAAACTAAAAAACAGAATTCATGCAATAACATATATTATCAAATGAACATAAAATGTAATTAAAATAATACTTCAACGTTAGTGTAATGCAACTAGTATCCATAGAAAATGAAACTAAAAACATAACTCATACGATAACGTAGATTGTCAAATGAAATTGGAGTGCAATTAAAATAATATAACGTCGTTTTACTTCATGATTCACGGTATTACATGCATCATTTCTTAATTATTTGCCCCATTAATTCTTTCACACTCATGCACACCCCAGACACCCTACCCAATCCCCTTCTTTGGGGCCAACTATCCTTCGACACCCGGGCACAGTACCCCATCGTCGACCATAACTCTCTCCGTGTGTCTCAAGTATATGAAGGTTCAATATTACCTGGATTTTCTAGTTTTATGTACGTACTAGTATGAATTAAGATTGTAAGGTTGGAAACTCTTTCAAATGAGGTCTAATCGTATATACGCACATGTATATTCACTCTTAATTAAGTTGTGATTACAAGATGCCAAATAACATTATATCTATCTTAAGTAATCCAAATTTATGGTCGCTTACATACAAATTAAAGTAATATTGCTCCAGAATTTAGCGTAATTGTTTCGTTGCCTGACTTAGAAGTCATACTAGATTTGCTATGTAAGCTTTTGTTTACTGAGGGTGGTTCAAATCCCTCTCTTTCCGCATCTTAACCTAATTAACTAATGTTACTGACCAAAATGTATCAAATAACAATGGAAATCATTATGGAGTGTTAGACCTTAGGCTCAAGGATTCTAGAAATGATTATGGAAATTGTTAGACCTTAGACTCAATGATGCTGGAAGGTCTAGATATATTCATTGTGCGCGAGCCACAATGGGGGAAGTGGTGGTAGTTTCCCCCACTCCCTCACCTCATATATATATATATATATACCCAGATTTGAAGGTTAATTTGACTTAGATGATAAGACTTCTTAATAATATGAAATGAAATGGTCAAAAATTTGAATCATGTAGCCTTTAAGTGAAACTTTGTTTTTGACATTTTTTAATATTAATAGTGAACATTCTAATTAGATCAAACGATTTTATCTAATTAATTTTGTTTTAAATATTTTTTTTTTATCTTGATGTATTTTGATTTTCCATCTCTAGTCAAAAATATGACTGGGTTGTTTCTTGTTAGTTTTAATCTCTCTCTCAATAGATAAGATTTCTGGATCCGCCCCTGGTTGTGCCTATATTCTAATTAGATCAAACTATTTTATCTAATTTATTTTGTTTTAAATATTTTTTTTTTATCCTGATGTATTTTGATTTTAAGAGATGGAGATACTTAGTGTTGTAGAACATATAAAAATGAAAACACAATTTAAAAAAAAAATAATAATAATAATAATTTGGGGGATGCATGGCATGAAGTTGAAGGAGGGGAAGTCCATATATAGAGGGAATGAAGGGGCAGTAGCGTCACATGGACTCATTTACACATGTCGCTGACCTTTCTTCCTCTCTTCTCCATCATCTCTCTCATCTCCCCACTACTCATGCTCGCCACTGACCACTTCATCATCTTCTAAAATTCCCCATTACTGCTCCTGCAAATCAAATTCCCCATTCCTCTATTCCCTCGGATCATCCAAAATAGAAACCACTACTTAACTCCTACTATAAATACTCCGGCCCCCCCTCTTCGATCTAACTTTCCGGCAATGGGTCGATCGCCGTGCTGCGATAAAGTCGGCCTCAAGAAAGGTCCTTGGACGCCCGAAGAAGACCAGAAACTCTTGGCTTATATCGAACAACACGGCCATGGCAGCTGGCGTGCCTTGCCTTCTAAAGCCGGTCGGTACATACATATATACCTTTATTAATTTCTCTGTTTCTGCTAATATAATAACGTCTGATCTCGTACAGGCCTGCAAAGATGTGGGAAAAGTTGCCGGCTAAGATGGACCAACTATCTCCGGCCTGATATCAAGAGAGGAAAATTCAGTTTACAAGAAGAGCAAACCATTATCCAACTCCATGCTCTCCTCGGAAACAGGTTTTCCTCACAAACTTTCTTAATTCCTTGTAATCATTGGACTTCTCATCTATCCAACCAACAGGTTTCCGTAATAATGGGTGTTTAATAATCTTGCGTGTGTGTGTGTACCACTTTTCCAGTCTGGGCATCATGCACAAAAATGGCATAATCATCTGAATTCCAGACTGGGTATTATTCTCCATTTTGCATTATGTATCACATCACAACCCACATTTTAAAATTCATATGTACTTTTCTTCAAATTAAGTTGAAATTTGTGGGACAACAAAAGTGACATAGAACAAGAGGGGAATGGAAGAATTCGGGTGTTTGTCGTTTTTTGTGTTTGAAAACTGATGATTAGGAAAAAAACAAAGGGAAAAGGGTGGATTTTGTTTGGATGTTTTATTTTTGTTTTTTGTTTTCGGTTATTTTAAGGTTTATATGTCGGAATTGGTGTTTTTTTTTTTTTTTTTGTGGTGGTGGTCACAGGTGGTCGGCGATTGCCACTCACTTGCCGAAACGGACGGACAACGAGATCAAGAATTACTGGAATACGCATCTGAAGAAGCGGCTGGCGAAAATGGGGATTGATCCGGTGACCCACAAGCCGAAGAACGACGCGCTGTTATCCAGCGACGGCCAGTCCAAGAGCGCCGCCAATCTCAGCCACATGGCGCAGTGGGAAAGCGCCCGCCTCGAAGCCGAGGCCCGCCTGGTCCGCCAATCCAAGCTTCGTTCTGTTTCTCTCCAGAACCCTCTGGAGCCTTCTAGCCCGCTCAACAAGCCGGTGGTGCCGCCGGCGGCCGGGTCGCCGCGGTGTCTCGACATACTAAAAGCTTGGGGTGGTGGCGGCGGCGCCGGAGGCAGCAGCGGGGCGTTTTCCGTTGTCGGACTTGGCGTCGGAGAGCCGCAGCTGGAGTCGCCGACGTCGACGCTGAGCTACTCCGAGAACGCGCCGCAGATTTCCAGCACCGGCGCGGGGATGGGCGAGCACTCGACGGCGGCGTTTATGAAAGAAGAAACTGAGGATCAAGCGTGGAAGTGCTTCGGGAATGCGGCGGAGCATTTCAAACACGGCGGCGGCGTCGAGGATTCCACCGCCGCCGCCGGTTTCGCCTCGTCGGGGCTTCTCGGCTTGACAAGCATGCCCGCCGTCGCCATGGAGAGCGCTGCATGGACGACACAAGAGCACATCCCCACCGGCAATTTTGTGGAGAGGTTCACCGACCTTTTGCTCAGTGCAAATTCGACGGAACGGAGCTTATCGGAGGCCGGCAGCACCGAGTCCAATAACGCCGGCGATGGCGCCAGCGGCAATCATCACTACTATGAAGATAACAAAAATTACTGGGATAGCATCCTTAACTTGGTGAATTCTTCACCCACAAATTCTCCCATGTTTTAGGAACCAACTATAATCTATCTCTTGTAGTGACGTATGATGTGTTACACTTAGAATTGTTTCAGTCTAGTGTTTGGGGAAGTCCATGAACTGTACGTTGTATTATTACAAAATGGAGCCACTCAGCATCTTTCCTAAGTTTCAAACTAAGTCTATTATTTTGAAAATAACATTCCATAAAATTCATTCAAACTTGTAATCTAGAGGTGAGAAACCAATGAAAAGTCGATCAAGTTAAAGATTTAGAGCATGCTTGAGAACATAATAGAGTTGTTGGTATCTATTGGCATGGGTGCGGGTCTGAAGTGATCCTATTTTGGTTTCTCCTGGTGCGAACCATGGCGGTAGATCGGATAGATTGCTTGAGAACACGATATTTTTGTCTTGTTTTTCACAGACGACGTCAATGATAGTTTTATGACTACGAGATAACTAGTCAGCAAGCCAACACAACCTTACAAAAGGATATAAGTGTGTTATTGCCAGAAAGTAATAATAGAACCCTTTACAATGTTCCACTGAAAGGTATTTATACATAGGCACTTGATCTTAAGAAATGGAATGAAGTCGTTTACAAATTCATATTATGAATTTTTCCTTGATTTTTCCCAAATCAGGCCTAGATTTCCTTCATAAACTACAAGATCACTTTCCTAAGTTTGAAAAGGGGAAACTAGGGAGGAGTTAATTTGGACATGAATGTTTTAAGTATCTATCAAATATTGCTTAACAGTCCTACGACGTTCTCCTGACTAACTAGAAGGCCAACTACTCTAATCTGTCCCGATTGACGTTCTCCTAACTAGCTAGAAGGCCGCTAACTACTCTAATCTATCCCGGTCCCGATTGACGTTCTCCTGACTAGCTAGCTGGCCAACTACTCTAATCTGTCACGTTTGACGTACGACGTGCCAACTACTCTAATCTATCCCGATTGACGTTCTCCTGACTAGCTAGCTGGCCAACTACTTTAATCTGTCTCGAACTTTAATCTGTCTCGATTGACGTTCTCTTGACTAGCTAGCTGGCCAACTACTTTAATCTGTCCTGATTGACGTTCTCCTGACTAGCTAGCTGGCCAACTACTTTAATCTGTCCTGATTGACGTTCTCCTGACTAGCTAGCTGGCCAACTACTTTAATCTGTCCTGATTGACGTTCTCCTGACTAGCTAGCTGGCCAACTACTTTAATCTGTCCCGATTGACGTTCTCCTGACTAGCTAGCTGGCCAACTACTTTAATCTGTCCTGATTGACGTTCTCCTGACTAGCTAGCTGGCCAACTACTTTAATCTGTCCCGATTGACGTTCTCCTGACTAGCTAGCTGGCCAACTACTTTAATCTGTCCCGATTGACGTTCTCCTGACTAGCTAGCTGGCCAACTACTTTAATCTGTCCCGATTGACGTTCTCCTGACTAGCTAGCTGGCCAACTACTTTAATCTGTCCCGATTGACGTTCTCCTGACTAGCTAGCTGGCCAACTACTTTAATCACTACAAGAAAAATGCACATAGACAACACTAGAAAGACAACAGTTTTTAAGAAAAGTGTTGTCTTTTGTATAAAAGACAACAGTTTGGTCCAAAACCGTTGTCTTTGATGCAACACTTTTGTCAAAGACAACGGTTTTTACTTAACCGTTGTTATAAGTGTGTTGTCTTTGTGCATTTTGTGAAAAGACAACACTACAACGACAACGGTTTTTTAAAACTGTTGTCTATGTGCGTTTTTTTTTTTAAAAAAGACAACGGTTTTTTTAACCGTTGTCGTTGGTGTGTTGTCTTTAAGAGCATTAGAATACACAACACTAGAAAGACAACGGTTGTTTAAAACCGTTGTCTTTGTGCGCTCTTTTTTTTTAACAAAGACAACGGTTTTATTTAACCGTTGTCGTTGGTGTGTTGTCTTTAAGCGCACTAGAATACACAACGCTACAAAGACAACGGTTTTTTTAAACCGTTGTCTTTGCGCATTATTATTTTTTAAAAGACAACGGTTTTATTTAACTGTTGTCATTTATGTGTTGTCTTTAATAGCACTTGAATACACAACACTACAACGACAACAGTTTTATATAACCGTTGTCGTTGCGCGTTCTTTATTTGTTTAAGACAATAGTTTTATTTAACCGTTGTCTTTGGTATGTTGTCTTTAAGCGTATTTGAACACACAACACTACAAAGACAACAGTTATAAAAAATCGTTGTCTTTGCGCAATATTATTTTATAAAAGACAACGGTTTTATTTAACCGTTGTCATTTATGTGTTGTCTTTAATAGCACTTGAATACACAACACTACAACGACAACGGTTATATAAAACCGTTGTCGTTGCGCGTTCTTTATTTGTTTAAGACAACGGTTTTATTTAACCGTTGTCTTTGGTATGTTGTCTTTAAGCGTATTTGAATACACAACACTACAAATACAACGGTTATAAAAATCGTTGTTTTTGCACATCATTATTTAATGAGTTGTATAAAGCAAAGATAAGGATGTTAATAACAAGAGTCAAACCTTTAACCTCAAACTTAACAAATAAGGTTTAACCAACTAAGCAACATAAACTCTTGTGTTTGAATGTGCAACATTTAGTATATAACTGGGTTGCTTCTGTGTTGTTTGTGAAAACCAAGACAACAATTTTAGAAAATAATTAAAGGATCCCTTAGAAAGAATAGAACCCAAGACCTCTAACATAATAAACTAAGCTAAACCCACCAAACCAAATCAACACTTCTGTACTCAAGTAAACTAATATATATACTTGATATAACCAATTTTCTTATGTGTTGTCTTTGAGACCCAAGACAATGATTGTATAAAATAGGTTAAGGATGCCACCACAAAAGATAGAACCCAAAACCTTTAACATAACAAACAAAGCCAAATCCACCAAACCACACCAACTCTTGTGTACTAAAGTGTTACACCTTATCTTTTAGCTATTATATCCTGAGTGTTAACAAGAATAAAAATGTAATTAAATTTTTTTGTCCAAATATATTGCATAAAAATTTAACAAATAAAGAATACAATTCAAAAGTTAATTTAATAGTTATATTTTTGTTCATATTTAAATATAAAATTATTCACCAAAATTTCAAAGTCAATTCATTAAAGTTTTATTTTCATATTATAATTAAGACCAATCTATGAATTCAAAAAAAAAATAAAAATATCAAGTATAAAAAACAATAGATTATATCTATAATATTTTTTAAAAAAAATTTGGGCACCCAAAATTGAGATACGTGGAAAATGAATATGAAATAGTAGTTGATCGATGCCGTACAGTTAGCTATCACAAATTATGTCGTACATTGATCAAAGTCCACTAACGGCACCGTTACCGTGTCCACACTACAGTGTGGACACGGGTCCATAGCATAACGATTGGTTAGCTATATCCCATTTCTTTTGCCATGATCTTAGCTTTGTAATATAATTGGGCCGCGAGTTGTCGGTAATAAACCTCGGGGTATTAAAGGGCAAATTATGCTGGGCAACTGTTCTATGTTCATAATAGCTGAACAATGCATTGTGAACACGAGTCCAAAACGTACGACGTCGTTTTCAGGGAACTTTGATTTTGTCTCGCCGTTAACGGTGTTATTAATTTGTGGGATTATGAATGTATAGTTATGACTTTATGAATGTACAGTTATGGAATTATATATGAATGTACAAATATGGAATTATGAATGTACAATTATGGAATTATGAACACAGAGCTCTGACATTATGAACATATAGTGATAAAATTATGAACATAGAGCTATAAAATTGTGAATATATAGAGCTTCGAAAATTATGACTTTATAGTTATTGAATTATGAATGTACAGTTACGGAATTATGAACATATGCTCCTATAATGAACATAGAGCTATATCCCATTTCTTTTGTCGCGATCTTTGTAATATAATTGGGCCGCCAGCTGTCTGGGTAATAAACCTCCGGGTAATAAATGACAAATTATGCTGTGCAACCGTGTGCACCATGCATGATGCACACTGTTCTATGTTCATAATTACCGAACTATATATTCATAATTTTTGAAATTCATATTCATAATGATTGAACTATATATTCACAATTACAAAACTTTATGTTCATAATTTTCGATGTTCATATTCCCAATTGTTGAACTCTGTATTTACAAATCACAAAACTATATGTTCATAATTTGATAACTATACAGTTTAGAAATTATGAATCAACAATACAGAAATTATGAATCTGTAGTATAGAAATTATGAATCTATTGCATAGAAATTATGAATCTACCTATTTAAATTATGAATCTACGCTTTAGAAATTATGAATCTAGAGTAAAGATTTTATGAATCTACAGTATAGAAATCTGTGAATCTCGCGTTCTGTACCTATATACCCGGTACTATTTTAATTGGGTCTAGTGACCTGGGTAATAAAACTAATATTTTCTTACCCTGTTCTATATCTATATTGTCCGGTTTAATTGGGTCGTTCCGGATGCCGCAAAAAATTTATTATTATTTTATTAGAGAGCGCGAAAAATCAACCCAAAATTTAGCCCTACCCGCCCAAACTTAGAAAATTTTCATTTCGCCCCATTTTATTCCTCGATCAAGAGAGTTCTACCCCCAATATTCCAAAATTTCATTTCGCCGATCAGGAGAGTTCTTCGCTGCCATCCCTCTGCCGACGACGACAACCAACAGCCACCGCCTCAGCCTCAGCCACACTCGCCGCCGCCCTTCATCTCGCCCTCTCATTTCCGAGACCTCCTGCCGCCGCTCTTCCTTCGCCGACGACGACGGCCGACAGCCACAGCCTCAGCCTCAGTCACACTCGCCGCCGCCGCTCTTCCTTCTACAGCTCTCTGTTAAGTGCACAGGCCTCATTGTAAGTCTAATCTTGCTTGTCTTTCTGTTTTTTTTTTCATTCCAGTCTAATCTTCCTTCTATACAGCTCTGTTATATGCATGCTATTTAGGTTTCACTCTTTGTGGTTAAAGAAAAGGTCTCAATTTCTTTAAAAGATTTGTTTGTGTGAATTGTTGTTGCTTTGATTTGCTTTTGAATTTTGCATTTGGATAAAATCTGGGCTAGTCTCATATTGTTTTAATCTGCTTTAATTTTTAAGGTTTTGCTTCTGTTTTTGCAATGATGAACAAGATTAATTCATATTTCTTAAGCAAATTTAATTATATGTGTGTTAAAAGATCTTCTATTATGTGATGTTAATTAGGCTGCATTGATTGTATAGAAATTGTTATGTTGTGGAACCGTATCCACCTTGCAAAGGAGTTCTATAATCTTACTTATGCACATGAGTAACTTGAAAGAGATGGTGTGTTACTTGAAAGAGAACTTCAATTTCTGAGGTAAATAAACAAGCTAAGTTCTGAGGGATTCTCACTACCAAACCAATCATTGCATGTCTAGTATTATGCTTTCCTTACTTAGTGAAACACTTTGCATGTTTAAGGAAAAGTTGAAATGGATACACGAATGGGAGCTGCTCCTGCACCAAATCAAGTTCTGGTGAGTTCAGTATTATGCTTTCCTTACTTAGTGAAACACTTTGCATGTTTAAGGAAAAGTTGAAATGGATACACGAATGGGAGCTGCTCCTGCACCAAATCAAGTTCTGGTGAGTTCAGGTAATTGCATTTTCTTGATATTCAACTTAGTTTAATCATGCATATAGTGGAGTCTTGTTGATACGTTCGTTTCTTGTGCTTTAGTGAAATTATGCCTCGGATTAAAGATTTAAAGCTAAAAAAATGCTTTCTCCTTCCTTCTTTACTTGAGTTTCAAGTTCAATGTTGGAAAAGTTGTAAACCTTTAGTTCTAATAAAATGCTCTAAATGTTATTCTGTGGTGAGGGAGTCTACATTATATTAGTATTTGAATCCTTGTTGTGCTTGCATCATTTGAAAATTTATGAGTCTGTGAGTTGAACACAAGTCATATGAGTGTTTGTAGGGAAGTTTGTCATTGTCTTGGAATGGTAGTCTATAGCAGGCACTCATATATACAGCCATACAGGATGAGCTCATACCTCCTATGAGGTTGTTGTCATGGAAATTGTCACTGCAAAGATGAACATTCATAATGGGTGTCCAAATCTGCATTCAATATAAACAGGACACAAGCTGATTGAATGATTTAGTGGTGATGCAGTTGTACATTATATGCCTTGTAAAATGAACTGTTTGATTTTTCCTCATGTCCACTTAATTGCTGGTGGATGAATAATTTTGATATGAAGTTACAGCATTCCCATATGTTAGCTTGGATTGAGATAGAAGTATTTTCTAGATTTAGTTAGCTTTCCCAGAAGGTGGACCATAATATCAAACAAATTGTCAGATGCTTTGTTGAAGTATTCAGATGCTTTCTATTCTACAAACTGCAGGCGCTCATTTCTAGAGCAGAAGTTGGCAAGCTTAGATTTGCCAAAGTAGGAGCAAAAGGTTCTTCTCAAGGACTTGGAACGTAAAGAGACAAAATATATACGTTTCCAAGTATGTTTAGATTATCTTTTTAGATTTAAATATATTATGCACCTATAAGTTCAATAAATAAATTTTTTTTTTTAGCCATTAGCATTATATTTCTTGCAAAAATGGTTGCTAAAGTACATATAAACAACACTTAACTTTACATATTAAAAAACATGTTTACCTAGTAGATATACTTTTCCCAACCAACCCTTATTTCTTCACTATGTAAAGTTGATTGTTGTGTATTTATGTTTTTGATCAACTATAATTGATCCTTAACTTTATCATCAGTTCTCAAACTTTTCCCTTTGAATTACCTAATTTTCAGTTTTGTGTTCCTATTTTAGGCTATACTTTGCAATTCATTAGGCTCTTGAACCTTTCACCATTGGCTCTTGGACCATTTTAATCATTTGGAAATTTCACCAAGGGCTTTATATACAAGGCTGCTTGACAGCTGCTCTTCTGGCAAGTCTGATTTTGTATGGCAAATTTGTGTTTCTTTAAATGTTCTTCTCTTCTTTTGTGAAACCACCCTCATCCTCTTAATCTTTAAAGTGATCAAACTCCTTAATGAACTAGTAAAGGCTTGTCCCATATTAGAGAAATATTGTAAGCTCTAATAGTCTAATTACCTCATCTTACCATAGCTGGTTTTTCATACGGATATGATGAATTCAATGTTTCCCAGGCTAACTTTTCTGAAAGTTCTGTTGATACAGATTGTTATTGCATTTCCTTATCGAAGGAATGGCGAAATTGTAAGCTGCAAATACCGGGATATAAACAAAAGAAAAAGATTTTGGCAGGTGCTTGTCAATACCATTTCTTTAGCTAAGAAACACATTGATTTTAAAGCTTGATATAGTGCTACAGTTTATTTTCTAAACTCCACTAGCTGCATTCACACATTATTCATATTATGATTATTATCCACATTTATTGATTCAACCCTTATTGTGTCTTATCTGTAAGGCTAACCTCTTCACCTTTGAGTTGGGGAAATTCCCTCTTAATTCTTTCATTATAAAAAGTGGTGACTACTATTCAGATTTTTCATTTTAAGATTTTCTTCTATTTATTGTTCTTGATGCTTTTGATTCTAAACTATGAATATCATTTGCTTTTTATTTTGTTTTTTGGCACAGTGTTACGTTACTAATCTCTTATTGTTGTGCCATTGTTACTTTTAGGAAAGTGACACTGAAAGGATATTGTATGGATTGGATGATATAACGGGAGCAAGTGATATAATTATTGTAATCTCAAGTCTCTTAAATTTTCCTCTTTATAGAAGCACTTAAGGATTGTGCTCTTTATAAATGCCTACTCTTTTATTGCAGATTGAGGGTGACAAAGCAATTATTGATCTGGTGCGTTCTGAATGAGCCGATATTCTATGAAGATATTAGAGTAGGTATGATTTGATCATTAGAACGTTGTGATCATTTAGACTTGGTTCGTGGAATTGTTTTTTGTAGTATTATGACTTGGATGATATATGATTCGATTAGAATTGGTCATGGAAGTATTTAGACTTGTTATTTTGAACCTTAGCTTGTGCAAAATTATGTAACTACACTTGGCCATGGTTTATGGATAAATTGATTTTTTATATGATTAAAATTTAAGCAGGTTAAAAACGGTTAAAAACCGTTAAGATAACGGTTAAAAACCGTTGTCTATTTTACAATAGACAACAGTTTGAAACTGTTGGCTTTTGTACAATAGACAACAGTTGAAACTGTTGTCTTTTTTACAAAAGACAACAGTTTATTGGCGTGACTTTTAACAACAGCGATTTCAACAACACACAATAGACAACAGTTAAAAGCCGTTGTCTATGTGCATCACTTTTAACAACATCGGTTTCAACAACATTGAATAGACAACGGGTCAAAAACCGTTGTCGTTGGTAGAAAAGACAACGGTTAACCGTTGTCTATGTGCGTGACTTTTAACAACACCGATTTCAACAACACTTAATAGACAACGGTTAAAAAACCGTTGTCGTTGGTAGAAAAGACAACGGTTAATAACCGTTGTCTATGTGCGTGACTTTTAACAACACCGGTTTCAACAACATTTAATAGACAACGGTTAAAAAACAGTTGTCGTTGGTAGAAAAGACAACGGTTAATAACCGTTGTCTATGTGCGTGACTTTTAACAACACCGGTTTCAACAACACTTAATAGACAACGGTTAAAAAACCGTTGTCGTTTCTAGAAAAGACAACGGTTATTAACCGTTGTCTATGTGTGTGACTTACAACAACACCGGCTTCAACAACACTTAATAGACAACGGTTAAAAAACCGTTGTTGTTTCTAGAAAAGACAACGGTTAAAAAACCGTTGTCTATGCGCGGGACTTACAACAACACCGGCTTCAACAACAGAAATTATACCCCTACGACAACGGTTATTAACCGTTGTCTATGTGCATTTTTCTTGTAGTGAATCTGTCCCGATTGACGTTCTCCTGACTAGCTAGCTGGCCAACTACTTTAATCTATCCCGATTGACGTTCTCCTGACTAGCTAGCTGGCCAACTACTTTAATCTGTCCCGATTGACGTTCTCCTGACTAGCTAGCTGGCCAACTACTCTAATCTGTCCGATTGTATGCGTGATCTCTTTGATCAACTAGGTACGCTTACTATGGGATCCATCAGTAGCGTTCTAGAGAAGTTTAATTTTTGTAATGGTGACCTAGTGTTGTTTTTTTGGGATCTTCCTTTCCTAATGGTCCAAAAATAATTAGCACTCTCCTAGCCTACTCAATTTTACAACAATATTTATTCACCAAATCTAACAATTTCAAATAATGTAAATCTTAAGCTAAACATATATACATATTTATATATGAGAAAAATTTCGGTATCTTATTATGATATTGTGATTTCGATATCTTATTATGATATTGTGATGCTAATTTTAAAAAATAAAAATAAAAATATTTTACTATAAAGTATAAGACACTAAATTATATGGCAACAATAAGTGAGATATAGGATTTGGATAGGAGCATGGGGAAAGGTGGCTTTTATTTTAACCTGCAACAGAAAATGACCCTAATAAATTAGTCACCCAATATAGTGGTATTACCTAACTGGAAGGGAGAATACTGCCCCAGATTCATGATTTATATACTCTGCTTGTGAGATGGACATTAAGGGGTAAGGTACCCACGGTCCATGCTCCATTTAATAATTACTAACCCTTGTCATATTCATGAATCATTAAAATCATCTTTAAAACAAAATTTGAAAAATTTTATATGATTAGCACTTAAAATGTACTATATGTGGTGGTTCACGAAAATTCGATGAATTAAAAGAGTTCAAGAACTTAAGGTATTAGGTTGAGAATAATCATCTCACCGAATAATTTTGACTTTGACTAAAAAGTTTAAAAGAAGATAATATGTATGTAATTATAATTTCTTAGAAAAAGACAAAAGATGTATGTGATTATAATTTATAACTTTTTCACAACTCTAATTTCAAGATTCTAAGAGCATCACCATCGCCAGTTTTTATTTGATTTTTGTAGGTTTTTAACACCAAAGATAGGCACAAAGGCGCACGTCAGCGGCACAAGCAGCACCCAACCCGGTGCATGTAGTCACGCGCCCGCTAGCGTGTTAACTGCCTAGCATTTTATTTTATTTTATTTTGCATGTCAAATTCCTTTTTCTTCTTTTTTTATTCCTCCACCCTCTCTCTACTAATTAGATTATCAAAAACCGCGTGATGAGGATGCTCTAACAAAATGTACGCCTTCATACACTTGTCGTGATTCTATTACATTAGTTACACCTACCTAGGAATGTTCATTAACATGTATATATAGTCTCTAGGTTTAGTGATGAACAATTATACTTGTCATGATTTTTTTTCCAGTGCATGATTAACGTGTTTTCAACAACACATATACAAACACATAAGAAAATCAATCATAACAACGTGGTTTACTTTTGTCCAATTATCACTTATCTACCTATGGTCTCTTCAAATAAATGGCCATGATCCCTTCATTTACAAACTTGATTCATTTGGCATCTAGTTACCTTTAACAAAATATAGAGTATAATATTTTTATACACCTCAAATTTGAACTCTGATTAATATCTTAAAACTCATAAAGAAATATTTTGTTACCCACCTCAAGCATGAACATTATTAGTCTAAGTTGACATAATATAATTAAATTCCACAATGAGATAAGGGACATGAGTTTGAGAGTTCGAATCACGTCACAAATCAGATTGAACCAGGTCTAAATAATTTAACACAGGGCAATTGTTTGATTCATTGAAAAATTAAAAAGAAATAAGATGAATAAAATGCAAATATTTTTTTTTATTTTAAAAATGAGGAATTAATATGCACAGAGGGCCTTAAATTCTTTGCACAGTTTAAAATGGGCACCATCAGAGTACAAAATTGATTAGGGCTCTGCAAGTTGTCTCGGACTGATAATATATCATATATCATACCATATCCTCCCCCCCCCCCCCCCCCTAAAACTTCTCCCATAAATTGAACAGACAATTTTACTCCAATCCAATTTAGGGTTTAACAATTGGTAGTTCCGATTGAAATCAACTTCTCTTTCCAAATTAACTCAACCAAATTTAGGGTTTAACAAATTAATAGTTCCAATTCAACTTACCCTATCGGCTATCGCAACTAATTCCGATGGTAGGTTACAGCCGGAGTGAGGCTAGTTTCCGATTAGTTGCAGATAGGTTGATGGGCAAGTCCCCCACATGAATGGGCCACAAAAAACAATTTTCTTCAAAACTCACGAACATTAATGAAAAAGAATCAAGTGTTTGCATTTTCCATTATCAAAAAAAGGGAAACTTTTTTGCAAAATTGAGTGAATTTAATTAGGCCAGGCTGTCAGAAATGTTGACGATAAGAGGCCTAGTACACACAATCTGCAGACACCGCAGTCAACAACGATTGATCCTTGGGCAAACGTAAAAAAGAGCATTAATTTCTGGAGTAATAAATAAGCACATGGGCGTCCCCTCCTCCAAATCTTCATTCTGGGACATACCCATGATTCATTTCTCCAAATTTCAAATCAGAATTAAACAAACCCATACTGTAAAACACAATCTCTGCTAAAATTATTATAAAAACATGAAAGAGAAGAGATGTGAGGGCATAACAGGCAGCAACGACATGGAAGAGGAGTCGAAGCTGCAAAGCGAAGCCCTAGCGTCGGTTTTTGCACTCTGAAAAATTAGGCGTCTGGGCGATTGATATTAATGCCGCAGAAGCCTATGTACTGTGCATTGTTTTGATGGATTGACTAGCAATAGCCTAGGAACCTACGAGCCTACGACTGATTTGCTCAGAACGGCGGCAGGGGGAGATTGTGCCGGCGGGGAGTAGCGATGTTTATGGAGGAAGAAGAGGATGATTATGTGGTTTTATTTAAAGGGAAGCTGGAATGCTATGGAAGCCCTAGCGCTTTGATTCAGCCTTTTGGGCTCACTGAGCCCTTTGAATTTTGTGAGTGGCCCATTAGGAAATAACTGGGCACTATAATAATGCTCAAATTGCTCAATCCACCATGGTTAAGCATAAATATAATATACTCCGTAATATAATATAATATATATATATGTAAAATTCAACTATTAGCTTAATTTTTTAGTTGAGATGAAATTCATGGAAGTATAGAGCACATGTTTTAATTTGGTACCATAATCAATTCCATACAAAAGGTCATGGGTTTGAATCTCGGTACTACCCAATAAAAATAGATTATGATCCACACGTGAAGGCGTGTTGAATATATAATATATTAGTTAAGACAGAACAAGCGCCCGGTCTGCGCAGGTCACGCATGCCATCTCATCCTCTCATTTTCATTTTCTCTCTCATGATGGATCCCACAAAAAAACTCAACTCTTCTATCTCTTTCATCTTTCTTCTCCACATAAGTCATCTTCTTCTAAAAAATTATGAAAAAAAAAATCACATAATGAGATGCTTTAAAGAACATGTGCATTTTTAGTTTTGCATAGTGTTTTTTTGCATTTCAAATTCGCCCATACCAGATTATTGTCAATTTTTACATAGGTCACTTTTTTTGTTTTGTTGTTGTTGAAGATACGTAGGTAACTTTTTTTAAAACTTCTTTTATTTCATATTCACATATTTAATTATTAATTTCATTTTCTAAGAAACACAAAAGAAAAAAAAAATGATGCAGACGGCCATTTATCCATTTTCTCA